CCATGATATCATACTACATGACGCCATGATATCATACTCCATGACGCCATGATATCATACTACATGACGCCATGATATCATACTCCATGACGCCATGATATCATACTACATGACGCCATGATATCATACTACATGACGCCATGATATCATACTCCATGACGCCATGATATCATACTCCATGACGCCATGATATCATACTCCATGACGCCATGATATCATACTACATGACGCCATGATATCATACTCCATGACGCCATGATATACTACATGACGCCATGATATCATACTCCATGACGCCATGATATCATACTCCATGACGCCATGATATACTACATGACGCCATGATATCATACTACATGACGCCATGATATCATACTACATGACGCCATGATATCATACTACATGACGCCATGATATCATACTACATGACGCCATGATATCATACTACATGACGCCATGATATCATACTCCATGACGCCATGATATCATACTCCATGACGCCATGATATCATACTCCATGACGCCATGATATCATACTCCATGACGCCATGATATCATACTCCATGACGCCATGATATCATACTCCATGACGCCATGATATCATACTACATGACGCCATAGTCTTCATTGGTGGTAACATACACCGGTTTGACCGTCACTGAAGCTCTTGTCGTCCCAATAGACAGGGGAAACATGTTCTGAGTGTTCTCCCCCGTCCCAGTAGACAGGGGAAACATGTTCTGAGTGTTCTCCCCCGTCCCAATAGACAGGGGAAACATGTTCAGGAGTTCTTCCCTGTCCCAGTAGACAGGGAGACATACTAGAGTTCTCTCCCGCCCAATAGACAGGGCAACATTCTATAAATTTCTCCGTTCCAATAGACGGGAAACAATCTAGATATCTCCCCCGTCTCGGAAGACAAGGTGTGGGGAAATTCCCATATCTATTATTTATAATAGATATGGGAATTGAATACATTTATAATTTAATAATATAATTTAATACAACATGCAGGGAAAAAATTACTGCCGTTTTGTGTTATCTTACAACAGAGTAAATTCTTTAAGTTAGTCATGAAGAGACAACGAAAATGACGCCTCTTGAGTAGAAAACGGGGTTATTATTCCCACGCGACGACAATCTACATTTCGTTCTCAAAATGATTCTTGCTAGTTTAATATAAAATTATCCAGTCTCAGTGCTGGTAATCTAATAATATTAATGATCTCGGTTAATTATATGCTCAATACTACCATCTCCTCTACCAGCAAGTCCCAGAATGCACCGTGACTGACCATAGCTGACCAAAGAACCACGGGGCCAGATTCACGAAAGCACTTACGATCGTGTACATCTTTCCTCAATCTTTGACGGCTTTGGTTACATTTATTAAACAGTTTACAAGCATGACAACTTGCCAATCAACTGTTGTTATTGTTATAAACAGCCTCCTGGTGCTTCGGAGCTCATTAACTGTTTAATAATTGTAAACAAAGCCGCCAAAGATTGAGAAAAGATGTACAGGTTCGTAAGTGTTCGCGTAACTGCTTTGTGAATGTAGCCCCTCCACCCCCACAAGCACAACTATGTGAGTACAGCTGAGGCACTTGTCAATTTAACTAACCTGGAGAATGGGTTTGGTTTAGAAAATGTTTTAGAGTTCTAAACATTTAGAAGTTCTAAAGTTCTCCACCGTCCCAATAGACAGGGAAACATGCTAGAGTAAGGCGGGTCGCCTGACAGCTGGGTGGACAGCACTTCGGATTTGTAGCCCTGAGGTTCCGGGTTCGATCCCCGGTGGAGGCGGAGACAAATGGGCAAAATGTTTCTTTCACCCTTATGCCCCTGTTACCTAGCAGTAAATAGGTAGCTAGGAGTTAGTCAGCTGTCGCGGGCTGTTTCCTGGGGGTGGAGGCCTGGTCGAGGACCGGGCCGCGGGGACACTCAAGCCCCGAAATCATCTCAAGATAACCTCAAGATAAGATAACTGTCCCTGGACACAGGCATAATACAAGAAGAGTAAATTAGTATTTTAGTGAATAAATCTATCGTTTAAGCACGGTTACCTTGCGATGATTTCGGGGCTCAACGTCCCCGCGGCCCTGTCTTCGACCAGGGCAAGATAAATTTATATATATATATGTGGGGGTCCACTACCACCCACGGGATGGGGTGTGGGGTCCACTACCACCCACGGGATGGGTGTGGGGTCCACTACCGCCCACGGGATGGGTGTGGGGTCCACTACCGCCCACGGGATGGGTGTGGGGTCCACTACCGCCCACGGGATGGGTGTGGGGTCCACTACCGCCCACGGGATGGGTGTGGGGTCCACTACCGCCCACGGGATGGGTGTGGGGTCCACTACCGCCCACAGGATGGGTGTGTGGGGTCCACTACCGCCCACGGGATGGGTGTGGGGTCCACTACCGCCCACGGGATGGGTGTGGGGTCCACTACCGCCCACGGGATGGGTGTGGGGTCCACTACCGCCCACGGGATGGGTGTGGGGTCCACTACCGCCCACGGGATGGGTGTGGGGTCCACTACCGCCCACAGGATGGGTGTGGGGTCCACTACCGCCCACAGGATGGGTGTGGGGTCCACTACCGCCCACAGGATGGGTGTGGGGTCCACTACCGCCCACGGGATGGGTATGGGGTCCACTACCGTCCACAGGATGGGTGTGGGGTCCACTACCGCCCACAGGATGGGTGTGGGGTCCACTACCGCCCACGGGATGGGTGTGGGGTCCACTACCGCCCACGGGATGGGTATGGGGTCCACTACCGTCCACGGGATGGGTGTGGGGTCCACTACCACCCACGGGATGGGTGTGGGGTCCACTACCACCCACGTGATGGGTGTGGGGTCCACTACCGCCCACGGGATGGGTGTGGGGGTCCACTACCGCCCACGGGATGGGTGTGGGGTCCACTACCACCCACGGGATGGGTGTGGGGGTCCACTACCACCCACGGGATGGGTGTGTGGGGTCCATTACCACCCACGGGATGGGTGTGTGGGGTCCACTACCACCCACGGGATGGGTGTGGGGGTCCACTACCACCCACGGGATGGGTGTGTGGGGTCCACTACCACCCACGGGATGGGTGTGTGGGGTCCACTACTACCCACGGGATGGGTGTGGGGGTCTACTACCGCCCACGGGATGGGTGTGGGGTCCACTACCGCCCACGGGATGCGTGTGGGGTCCACTACCGCCCACGGGATGCGTGTGGGGTCCACTACCGCCCACGGGATGGGTGTGGGGTCCACTACCGCCCACGGGATGGATGTGTGGGGTCCACTACCGCCCACGGGATGGGTGTGGGGTCCACTACCGCCCACGGGATGGGTGTGGGGTCCACTACCACCCACGGGATGGGTGTGGGGTCCACTACCACCCACGGGATGGGTGTGGGGTCCACTACCGCCCACGGGATGGGTGTGGGGTCCACTACCGCCCACGGGATGGGTGTGGGGTCCACTACCGCCCACGGGATGGGTGTGGGGTCCACTACCGCCCACGGGATGGGTGTGGGGTCCACTACCACCCACGGGATGGGTTATAGGGTGCATTATAAATGACAAAAAGCAAAATGAATTACTCAAGATATTGACAAAACTATATTGCAAATGCTGAAGAGTTCAATATTATAATGAAAGCATAATGAGATATAATGAGAATAATGATTATAATGAGAGAGCAGTGGTAGGCGAGAGGTGACCGCAAGCAAGTATCAAAAGGATACATTGTTATGTGTAATGTATTTCGCTGCACGTATCTTTCAGCCTGTAGCCGCTGTAATAAATTCCAGGCGCTCCTTGTATCGTAAACACGTGACGTCACTCCAGGCACTTCATGTGCATCTTTGCATTTGCTCGAGTTGAACTCTACTAGCCATTTGTTGGACCATTCCTTCAGTCTGTCCACTGAAGAACAAGAAGGTGTGGTAGTGGTGGTGGTGTACTCACCTATTTGTGGTTGCGGGGGTTGAGCTCTGGCTCTTTGGTCCCGCCTCTCAACCGTCAATTATCTGGTGTACAGGTTCCTGAGCCTACTGGGCTCTATTGGGCTCGCTCTATTGGGCTCGCTCTTTGGTCCCGCCTCTCAACCGTCAATTATCTGGTGTACAGGTTCCTGAGCCTACTGGGCTCTATTGGGCTCTATCATATCTACACTTGAAGGTATGTATGGAGTCAGCCTCCACCACATCACTGCCTAATGCATTCCACCTGTTAACTACTCTGACCATGAAGTGGCTCATTTGGGTACTCAGCTTCCACCTGTGTCCCCTTGTTCGCGTACCATCAGTGTTAAACTGTTTATCCTTATCTACCTTGTCAATTCCCGAGAATTTTGTAGGTAGTGATCATGTCCCCCCCTTACTCTTCTGTCTTCCAGTGTCGTGAGGTGCATTTCTCGCAGCCTTTCCTCATAACTCATGCCTCTTAGTTCTGGGACTAGTTTAGTGGCATACCTTTGGACTTTTTCCAGCTTCGTCTAGTGCTTGACAAGGTACGGGCTCCATGCTGGGACCGCATACTCCAGGATTGGTCTTACATATGTGGTATACGCCACATATGTGGTGTGGTAGAGTGGTGGTGGTGGTGAAGATGGTGGAGGAGCACCTCTCCCCCACTGAGTCTGCCACTCTTCCTCCCACAGTAATCTCATTGTCTCCCTTCCTCCTCCACCTCCTTTAACCTCCTCTCTTTCCCTCCCTCTTTCATCTTCACTTGCCATCTCCTCTCTCCCTCTGTCTCTCTCTCTCTACATTTGATTATCTCCCTTATCGCCCCTAGTACCTCCACACACACACTCTCTCTCTCTCTCTCTCTCTCTCTCTCTCTCTCTCTCTCTCTCTCTCTCTCTCTCTCTCTCTCTCTCTCTCTCTCTCTCTCTCTCTCTCTCTCTCCCTCTCCCTCTCTCTCTCTCAATTCTCCTTCAATCCATATACCCACCTGAACCTCGAGCTATCAAACCACCTACCGGCATGGCCACCTACACGGAGGCATGGCCACCTACACGGAGGCATGGCCACCTACACGGAGGCATGGCCACCTACACGGAGGCATGGCCACCTACACGGAGGCATGGCCACCTACACGGAGGCATGGCCACCTACACGGAGGCATGGCCACCTACACGGAGGCATGGCCACCTACACGGAGGCATGCCCACCTACATGGAGGCATGCCCACCTACATGGAGGCATGCCCACCTACATGGAGGCATGCCCACCTACATGGAGGCATGCCCACCTACATGGAGGCATGGCCACCTACATGGAGGCATGCCCACCTACATGGAGGCATGGCCACCTACATGGAGGCATGCCCACCTACATGGAGGCATGCCCACCTACATGGAGGCATGCCCACCTACATGGAGGCATGCCCACCTACATGGAGGCATGCCCACCTACATGGAGGCATGCCCACCTACATGGAGGCATGGCCACCTACATGGAGGCATGCCCACCTACATGGAGGCATGGCCACCTACATGGAGGCATGCCCACCTACATGGAGGCATGGCCACCTACATGGAGGCATGGCCACCTACACGGAGGCATGGCCACCTACATGGAGGCATGCCCACCTACATGGAGGCATGGCCACCTACATGGAGGCATGGCCACCTACACGGAGGCATGGCCACCTACATGGAGGCATGGCCACCTACACGGAGGCATGGCCACCTACATGGAGGCATGCCCACCTACACGGAGGCATGCCCACCTACATGGAGGCATGCCCACCTACACGGAGGCATGGCCACCTACATGGAGGCATGCCCACCTACACGGAGGCATGCCCACCTACATGGAGGCATGGCCACCTACATGGAGGCATGCCCACCTACATGGAGGCATGCCCACCTACACGGAGGCATGCCCACCTACATGGAGGCATGGCCACCTACATGGAGGCATGCCCACCTACACGGAGGCATGCCCACCTACATGGAGGCATGGCCACCTACATGGAGGCATGGCCACCTACATGGAGGCATGGCCACCTACATGGAGGCATGCCCACCTACACGGAGGCATGCCCACCTACATGGAGGCATGGCCACCTACATGGAGGCATGCCCACCTACATGGAGGCATGCCCACCTACATGGAGGCATGGCCACCTACATGGAGGCATGCCCACCTACACGGAGGCATGCCCACCTACATGGAGGCATGGCCACCTACATGGAGGCATGGCCACCTACATGGAGGCATGGCCACCTACATGGAGGCATGCCCACCTACACGGAGGCATGCCCACCTACATGGAGGCATGGCCACCTACATGGAGGCATGCCCACCTACACGGAGGCATGCCCACCTACACGGAGGCATGGCCACCTACACGGAGGCATGCCCACCTACACGGAGGCATGGCCACCTACATGGAGGCATGGCCACCTACATGGAGGCATGGCCACCTACACGGAGGCATGCCCACCTACACGGAGGCATGCCCACCTACATGGAGGCATGGCCACCTACATGGAGGCATGGCCACCTACACGGAGGCATGCCCACCTACACGGAGGCATGGCCACCTACACGGAGGCATGCCCACCTACATGGAGGCATGGCCACCTACATGGAGGCATGGCCACCTACATGGAGGCATGGCCACCTACATGGAGGCATGGCCACCTACACGGAGGCATGTTATAGGCTATACAAGTTTATTACGAGTAATACTTCAAAGATAACAACAGATAGCACTTAGCACAGCGCTGATGCGGCGGGAGGCGACTACAGTTTATATATATATATACACTCTGGCTTCCTGTCCCCCCGACACAGTGAATTATTCGTATTATTATACCCAAGGAGAAGTGAGGTGGGATCACCTACGAAGGGACTATTGCCCCTCACACGGGCGGAGGATGCTCCCGGCCTAGTGAGTGCCACTGTGGTGCTCTGAGTGAGTTGCGGCGATCTCGAATTGGCACCAGGGGTGGGGGGGGGGGAGGGGGGATTGGGTTCGTCTTCTCCCCTGCGGCTGTGGTTACATTCTCTGTAACTAGCTGACACTGTAATTATAAGGTGTGGAGGATAGATGAAATTGTTTATGTAATAATCTCTGTTGAGGTCTGATAAAGACCTTTTGTGCCCTATGTAATCCTCTTGTGTTCCGGTGGCAACTTTCAGTTAGTGGTATACAAGGTCCTGAACGATTCCTTACACAAGTTTCTAAAGGCAGTTCTTATTTCGGCCAATGTAGCATATGCCGCTGATGATAGCCTTCTGATGTGGGCTTATAAGGCCACATATGTATAGTGTAACTTTCTCGACATTACTAGAGATATGAATGTCCTTCTTGCCCATAGCCGTACACATTAATACATATGTATGAATACACTCCTGTGAGACACTTACATGTGCACATGTATGCTCATGCACAGTCATGAGCTCACCATTTCCTACATACATATTTTTCTTTTACGATTTAGTACCCTCCTTTTCCACTCCCTTCCCTCCC